ATTATTTTAATTTGCTCATCAGAGAGAGACAGAGAAAGAGAAAGTGAGAAAGCAAGCTACCAGGTCTGGTATTTGAACTGCGGTCAGCCATGTGAGAGTTCAGTGTCCTAACTACCATACCACCTGCTGACCCCTTAAATAGGATTTTTTTAAATAAATATTCTTCAATATTATATCAACATTTCAAAGTTGGAAAGAAAATACTTCATGTTTTTAGAGACCAGTTTGCTTTCAGTGATTGATTGACATAAAATTAAAAGCAGAAAAACCTCTTTTTTGTTCAAATTTTACCATTGAGTGTCTTTGTTATCTTAGGCCCACTGCTTTTTCTCTTTATGCTTCAATTGTCGAATCTGCAAAATATGCTGACTAGTACCTGCCCATATCATTTTAACAGACTGTTGTAAGGTTCCGTTGACACAGTGTGTATGACAGTCCTTCAGACAAAGACAAGACAGCTACAAAACTAAGGTGTCGACTGTGGAATCTAACATTGCACTGTGCATAGACTTGGTAACAAAAGAGTGTCTATAAACGCCCATCAGCTGGCTCCCAGGTGACAGAAAATGCAGAGTCTGTGTGTAACTGTATGTCACCACTTTTTGGACTTCGGCGTCCTCAAACACACAATAATTCAGTGTATGCAAACACACACACTAATCCACATTCTATTAGATCTTTTTAGCTCTAGTATGCCATGATTCCACTCAGGGCACCTCATCTGAGTTCTCTGTTTGCCTTTTTCTTTCCTATAGCAATACTTTCTGCTGCAGGAAAACAAACAAACAAACAAACAAACAAACATGTGGCCACAGTGTCTTAAACAGAGTGCTTTATTCTGACAGTACATGAAATCTTGGGATCAGCATTTGCTTTGTGTGCAGGGTACACAACCCTCCGATTTGATTGGCTCTTAACTTATTGTCACGTGTACACTGCTGCCACATCAGCTGTAATATCCATAATCAAGTCTGGGATATGCAGAAAAAGTTGCTTCAGCTGCATCTGGGCCATGTTGCTAGAAAAGAGAAAGATACCACAAAGACTTTGATCGGGTTTCTATTTGTTTGTTTTGTTTTGTTTTAGCCATCTTTTTAATTATAACTTCACCTGTTCCTCCCTAGCTATAATTACGTCTAAGAAAGTGAGTACTTAACTGGGTGCAATTCTGAACAAAATCAGGACCGTATTAGAAGCAGGAATCAGGAGTTGAATATAGGGTACATAAGTAGCCGTTCTTGCCACATTCTTCTTTCATGTTATCTTTTCACATTCACATGTTTGTGCATCTAGTTACACTTCTTACTGCTCACCTTGTACTATCATCTTTCTTTTTTTTTTTCCTATAGGGCACATGTGCTGGCCAGAGAGGTGGCAGAGAGTGAGAGAGAGAAAGTGAGACATCAACCCCTGGGATAATGGCCCCACTGCAGTCCCTTCTTCCCCAGCCTCCTTGGTAGTTAGGGCATGCACACGCACTAGCCTGGTATGATGTTCAAGCCACTGGGTCCGGGACTCACATCTTACTTTCAGCCATGTGTGATCTATCACCTTAAACTCCATGCCACCTGCTGCCCCTTTATGATGTTTCTTAAATGGTACACCTTCCAAGGAGCCTCTTTCAACTACCTACTAATCAGACTGGAGTGCTCGTTCAGTTTGGTCTGTATGTGTTAAATGCCTCCTGCTTACTTTCAATTGCGAGGTCCCTATCGGTATGAACAGAATTAGGAACATTTTCATCTTCATGGCTATCAAAAAACATGAATAGGATAGTAAGAGAACAAATAGAGAGGCATGACAATAGCGGGACACAGATATGGTTTATTACCTGTTGATGGTGACGTGTATAGTATTCTCAACTGGATTGGTCTGAGAAGTATTTCATGATGGGTAAAGTCCTTTTACAAGCAAAATGAAAAATAGTGATTGACTGGTTAAAAAATAATTGGAATAATAATAATAATGATCAGGAAAACAATGAAAAGATACTGAATGATGAAGTGGGGAGATCAATGTCTCTGTATTGACTGACGTGTATGGCATTCCCTTTTGAAAAAGTAACGTAATACACTGTAAAGTTATATGCAATTCAATGTAATAATTCAACGTAATATAAACAAGATTATGATGATAATAAATAAATAAAAATTTTAAAAGCATGACTAAGAAAAAATGCCTGACAAATATTTATTAAACTGTATGCATTTGTGCTTACTTTTCTTCTACCATTATCTCCTCTAAGATTATTTAGTCAAAATTAGATAAAGTCTGGTTATTAGTTGAGTGACATTCTTAACTTCTAGATTTATTTATTTATTTATTTATTTTTAATTTTTTGAGAGGTTTTCGCTATAGGGCGCATGTGCTCGCTAAACAGACAGAGAGAGACATAGAGACAGAAAGCGAGAAATCACACCCCAGGGGGGATGGTCATGCCGCAATCCCTTCTCCTCCATTCTCCTCTTGAGATCTTGGGCATGCACGCATATGTGCCCGGCGCGAGTTTTAAGCCAACGGGTCCAGGACGTGAACCACGGTCGACTACGTGGGAGTCCAGCGACATAGCCATTAAGCTAACTGCTGGTTCCCCACTTCTAGATTTATTAACTGTAGCTACCTTGATGTTATTATCAGCAATCCTAATCTGTAGCTAAGAAGCAATCATGCAACTGTCTTGTCTTTTCTTTAAGTATTGCAGAGTATGTCATTCATGTGAATGAAAAGTGTTTAGTAAATACCTTTATGTGAAATGTGGAAACCACAAAATCCTCAAATAAGAACACACAGATAAACGTACAAGCAAACAAAACAACAAGTACATGGGAGCACTGCAGCTTAATCTTTTAAAGATTTAGCAATGCTCTTACAAATTCAAAGCACTCAATGATAAGACAAATTGAAACCAGAAGTGCATAGTTTGTTTATATACTGTATATTATTTCCCCCTAAGGCATTAGGACATGAGATATGAGTGGAAGTTTCTAACTAGTGCTTAAGAACAAGGTTAAAAAGTTTATAATCCTAATCCATGTTTAGTTTAGGGCAGAAGAATTTGAGTGGATCTCAGCGTGTGACACCAAAAACTGTTCAATGTATATTATAAAGTGGTCTTAGAGCAGTTAGTCTTATTAGGTACTAGAAAACAGATTAGATTAATCATAGCTTTCCTTTTAAATTGTTCTGGGCCAGCAGGTGGTCCATGTGGCTTTGGTTCAAGTGCCAGACCCAGAGGGCCTAAAAAATATGAGGTGTGTGTGTGCATTCTCAAAATCCCCAGAGGAAGATAGAGAAAGAGAGGCTGTGGTGTGTCCATTCCCTCCAGGAGTGATTTCCAACTTTCCCTTTCTCTCTCTCTCCGTCTCTCTATCTACAGTGAATAGAAGCACCCTATAGCAAAACTTAAAAGTAAATAAAAATTGTTCTAGTAGTTTCTCTTGGAAATATATTTCCTTTATTTATTTCAAGCAACTTTCAGTAGGAAGGTATTCTTTCTACCAAGGATATAATGTGTTCCTTTCAGAGATACTTTTAGATTGTTACAAAAGTTAAAATTTGTCCACCCAGGTTTTATAAATTGCAAATAATCATTTATCCACAATCTGAAGTTGATATCAGAAACTTCTGAAATTCAATGACAATCTATAGGACCTATTCAATATGTAAATATTTAAGCCAGCAAATCTAAAATTGCATGGAATTTGAACTTTAGAAGCTTAAAATGTATTGACTTACAAAGATGATTCAGAGGAAACCTAAAATGTAGGCCCTTCTGGGACCAGGAGATGGCGTAATGGCTAGTTGCTGGACTCCCATGTAGTACTGTAGTTCAATTCCCAGACCCGGTGGCTTAAACTCATGCTGGGCGCCTGTGCATGCATTCCCAAGATCCTGAGAGGAGAATGGAGGAGAAGGGATTGCAGCTTGGCCATCCTCCCTGGGGGGTGATTTCTCGCTCTCTGTCTCTCTGTCTCCCTCTGTCTTTCTGGCGAGCACATGTGCCCTATACAAAAACCTCTCAAAGAAAATAAATAGATAAATAAAAGTGGGCCCTTATTTAAAGGAATGTGGAGACTTCTTGTTAGGGTTTTCATTTTGTCATCAAGTGTCAATGAAATTATAAAAATAAATAAAATGAAATAGCACAACATTTTGAAGTTTCTATCAGACTCAATAGAAATAGCATAGAGGTGTGTGTCTGTGGAAACAGTAGTAGATGGTGGATGCTAAATGGTAAACGGAAATCGATGTCTGATAACCAGCTCATGAGTTTATAAGAAACATGTCATGCAGAGATAAACCCAGGAAACAAAAAGAACACAACACAGAGTCATAAAAAGAGTTTTAATCTAGTAATAATTCCAAGCTCATCAGTTTAAATAAAAACCACAGCTCCTTATTGGTTTCAGATATGGGCACAGAAAATATTTCAATCTGTATAATAGGCCATTGCCATAGAACTTAAGGAACAATACATAGGCAGTAAAAATACAGTTCATGAGAATTGTCTATCAAGAAGCTTAAAATATATAGGAAGTTATGGTTTCTTCCTTCAGTTGCTTACAAATTATGGGATGAAGTCACACCCACACAGGCAATTAGAGCACAAGCCAGCATACAATACAGGGCTAAACACAGTGCAGACAGTATACGCATTGCATCATGTTTGAAAAAAGGGAATGATTACATGGTGACGTGGTTTTGCTCCATTTTCTCCACAAATAGGCCAATGCCAAGTAAGGCTGTGAAAACATGAGCTGGAAATTTTATTATATTCTAGTGCCAAAATAATCTAAATCTTTTCTTTTTCTCTTAACATTTGGTACACATTCAAATATATATGTAGAAAAACTATACTGGGTGGCATTATTGGCTTCTGCAAGTTCTGGGAGGAAAATTTGACTTTTATTTATAATGAATTCATGCTGAAATGTCCTGAAATCTGTTTCAGATATTTTCTAAATTATTGCAACACTTTAAAAGAGGCATTTTGTTTGTAGCTTGTCGACCAGGTTTCTACAAGGCTTCAGATGGTCATACGAAGTGCGCTAAGTGCCCACCCCATAGCTCTACTCACGAAGATGGTTCGATGAACTGCAGGTGTGAGAATAATTACTTCCGAGCAGACAAAGACCCTCCATCCATGGCTTGTACCCGTGAGTAGTTTTGCTGCACCCATGCCTCCATGTTTAGTTTGTTTTGGTTTTCCTTCTTGTTCCTGTGATATTTGTTTTTGTTTTTAAAGCATGTGACCCATTTCCTTCTGTTATCCATGTGCAAACTGAAAGCTTTCTCTGCTTCATTCCCATGCTTGGCTCACCACAAATGTAACATTTATCACACAAAATGAATTTCTCTTTAAAGTACTTCCTGCAACTCAAACCCCAGAAAGCAAGAAAATTTTCTGTGTCTTGTTTTAGCTCTTGTATTACATTTGACAGGATAGGGGAGGTTATAGGCAAGGGATTTATGTTTTTACATTTCTATTCCCTCTTGCTATATGTCGGTCATGGGTCATAAGGAAAAAGAACTAAGATTTATAAAACTAATACTAAAGTTTTCACAAGTATTCCCAAGGGTATCAAACTTAGTGGTAAATTTCTTTTTTGGACTTTGTGACTGCATCCTCAACCGTGGGTCAAAACTCCCTCATTCATAGCTGGGGCGGGACAATGCTCTTGAGTTTATGTGCCTGTAATCTCATGCATCCTCTAAGGATGAATTAAAAGTAGATAATACAGACAGGATGGTTATTTATCTCTTTCAGTTGCATTGCAAATTACCTATTTCCCTTACAGTCGAAAACAAAAGTGAGGCTCATCAATCTTTGTTGAACTACTTTGCAGGACCTCCATCTGCACCAAGAAATGTTATCTCTAATATAAACGAGACCTCGGTTATCCTGGACTGGAGTTGGCCCCTGGACACAGGAGGCCGGAAAGATGTTACCTTCAACATCATATGTAGAAAATGTGGGTGGAATGTAAAACAGTGTGAGCCATGCAGCCCAAATGTCCGCTTCCTCCCTCGACAGTTCGGACTCTCCAATACCACGGTGACGGTGACAGACCTGCTGGCACACACTAACTACACCTTTGAGATTGATGCCGTTAACGGGGTGTCAGAGCTGAGCTCCCCACCAAGACAGTTTGCTGCAGTCAGCATCACAACGAATCAGGCCGGTGAGTACGCTAGATGCCTCTTACTCTTGCCAGAGCAGTCTTGGCTGCCTGAGGCCTTGGCTGAGAGCGAAGAAAGGGGTGGAGGAGAAATGATTTGAAAGAACGTCATCATTTTCTCTTCTATCATGGTGAGGCCGTTGTGGTACATTAGGTCATTTAATTTAACTCTCTGAGTGAGAATAAACCATATTCGTTAGGTGATTTTTAAACTTATTTATACCTATGGCTTCCCAATTGGGATCCTTGAATATTTAGGGCTCTTAGAAAGTAGTTGCAAGATTCCTTGAAACATTTTCAAATTTCAAGGAATGCAACAAGCAGTGAGGCTTAGCTTTGAAAGGCTATGTAGGATATTTAGAATAATAAATACTTTTAACCTATTTATAATTAGGTTTTTAATATAAGTAGTTATTTTACACTCCTAAGGAGCTCTGAGTGTATGGCTCTGAAAGCTATAAATCTTTGCTTAGTTAAATGTAAGAACCATTTTATTTAATTTTGTGTTAATTTTAGTTTTGTATTAGTATACGTAATTTAGGGTGAAGTATAAAGAAAAGAAGTATTCATGGAGAACAAAATCGCTCATCTAAAAAATTTCCTGATACAAATTTTTAGGTGATTTTGCCAACCATATTTCACTAGTAAGTTTTCCCAATTTAAAAAATATATATTTCTGCTTTGGATGATTTTAATGGAATGCCTTTTAATAGGACTTTTAATGGGAAAATTAAACAAGCATACAAACTTCTCATCTTTTCTTTTTTTGACAGAGATTTTTGCTATAGGGCATGGGTACTTGCCAGAGACAGAGAGAGACAGAAAGTAAAAAAAAAAAATCACCCCCAAGAGGGATGCCATGCTGCAATCCCTTCATCTCCATTCTCCTTCTGGGATCTTGGGCACAAATGCCCTTGCACCCAGCATGAGTATTAAGTAGTCATGTCTGAGACTCTAACAGCTGCCAAATAAGTGGAAGTCCAGTGATGTAACCATTGTACCATCTGCTGGCTCCCTCGTCTTTTTTGTTTAATCTTCCATCTGCATTTTCTTTTCTTTTCTTAATTTATTAGAGGATGGGTGTGTTCACCAGTGAGAGACAGAGAGAGAAAGTGAGAAATCAATCTCCATTGGGGATGATCACAACAGAATCCCTTCTATTCCATTTCTCCTTTGAGGATTTTGTGCATGCATGCACAAGCTCCCAGCATATTTTTCAAGTTCTTGGGTCTAGAACTTGAACCACTCAGTTGGTTATGTAAGATCCAGCCTCCTTAACCACCACACCACTTGTTGCGGTTGCCCTCACATTCTCTTTTTGTTGGGTGTCAGAGCTGAGCTCCCCACCAAGACAGTTTGCTGCAGTCAGCATCACAACGAATCAGGCCGGTGAGTACGCTAGATGCCTCTTACTCCTGCCAGAGCAGTCTTGGCTGCCTGAGGCCTTGGCTGAGAGCGAAGAAAGGGGTGGAGGAGAAATGATTTGAAAGAACGTCATCATTTTCTCTTCTATCATGGTGAGGCCGTTGTGGTACATTAGGTCATTTAATTTAACTCTCTGAGTGAGAATAAACCATATTCGTTAGGTGATTTTTAAACTTATTTATACCTATGGCTTCCCAATTGGGATCCTTGAATATTTAGGGCTCTTAGAAAGTAGTTGCAAGATTCCTTGAAACATTTTCAAATTTCAAGGAATGCAACAAGCAGTGAGGCTTAGCTTTGAAAGGCTATGTAGGATATTTAGAATAATAAATACTTTTAACCTATTTATAATTAGGTTTTTAATATAAGTAGTTATTTTACGCTCCTAAGGAGCTCTGAGTGTATGGCTCTGAAAGCTATAAATCTTTGCTTAGTTAAATGTAAGAACCATTTTATTTAATTTTGTGTTAATTTTAGTTTTGTATTAGTATACGTAATTTAGGGTGAAGTATAAAGAAAAGAAGTATTCATGGAGAACAAAATCGCTCATCTAAAAAATTTCCTGATACAAATTTTTAGGTGATTTTGCCAACCATATTTCACTAGTAAGTTTTCCCAATTTAAAAAATATATATTTCTGCTTTGGATGATTTTAATGGAATGCCTTTTAATAGGACTTTTAATGGGAAAATTAAACAAGCATACAAACTTCTCATCTTTTCTTTTTTTGACAGAGATTTTTGCTATAGGGCATGGGTACTTGCCACAGAGACAGAGACAGACAGAAAGTAAAAATATCACCCCCAAGAGGGATGCCATGCTGCAATCCTTTCATCTCCATTCTCCTTCTGGGATCTTGGGCACAAATGCCCTTGCACCCAGCATGAGTATTAAGTAGTCATGTCTGAGACTCTAACAGCTGCCAAATAAGTGGAAGTCCAGTGATGTAACCATTGTACCATCTGCTGGCTCCCTCGTCTTTTTTGTTTAATCTTCCATCTGCATTTTCTTTTCTTTTCTTAATTTATTAGAGGATGGGTGTGTTCACCAGTGAGAGACAGAGAGAGAAAGTGAGAAATCAATCTCCATTGGGGATGATCACAACAGAATCCCTTCTATTCCATTTCTCCTTTGAGGATTTTGTGCATGCATGCACAAGCTCCCAGCATATTTTTCAAGTTCTTGGGTCTAGAACTTGAACCACTCAGTTGGTTATGTAAGATCCAGCCTCCTTAACCACCACACCACTTGTTGCGGTTGCCCTCACATTCTCTTTTTGTTACCATTAATAAATCATATTATAATCACTCTTTAATCACTCATGTGAAATACTTGTGGGATTTTACTTATGGAATTTTAGTTGTGATTCTCTCAAACATATAGAGGGATTATGATTTACATGCAAATAATAACTCTGAGATGGTGATCATTTTGCAATATTGAAAACTTTATGCATGGGTAATAATCAGATTTCTTTTTTAATTAAAACTTGTGCAAAACTAAGCTGATAGACATTTGTTGCACATAATTGTTGCTACAGATTGTCATAATTAGGGATACACTACAAGCATGTTAATTCAGAGATGTTGTTATAATTTATATGCAAACATTGGAGCCCAAAGGGTGATGGCACAAGATGCTACCCTGAAAATGCTCTAACTAGAACTGCAGAATCTCATACCAGCTCCTGGATGGGATCCCCTCAAAGCTAAAAGTCAGTAATGATTATAAGATCAGTGTCTGGTCTCCATTTGGTTTAAATTATGGAAGCCCCTCTGGTCTCTACCCTTTGCTCTGAGGATATCTGAATGAATACTGGATGTCGCTGGCAAAGGGAAAGCAGAATGACTGAAGGTTCTTATCAACCAGAAGAGGTCATTTAACAGCCAAGCAACTAGCCAAAAAAAAAAAACACTTTTTGTTTCTTCCATGGGGCTGGCTTGAACCAATTAGTTAAATTATCAAGGACATGTAATTAATAACTATCATCCATAACTAATATTAAGCAAGTTTGCACCAGTATGAGTCTTTTGTTGTTAATATTTTAAACTATTTTGGGACCATCATTTAGCGTAATGGCTATGTTGCTGAACTCTCATGTAGCTGACCACGGTTTGCCGGACCCGGTGGCTTAAACTCATGCCGGGTGCATGTGCGTGTGTACCCAAGATCCCGAGAGGAGAATGGAAGAGAAGGAATTGCGGCATGGCCATCCCCACTAGGGGGTGATTTCTCACTTTCTATCTCTCTGTCTATCTCTGTCTTTCTGGGGAGTGCACGTGCCCTATAGCAAAAACCTCTCAAAAAAAAAAAATATATATATATAGCTATTTTTATATGGGATAAAAGTAGTTCTATCAGGTCATCTGGTGATGTGATGGTGAAGGCAGCTGGATCCCACATGACTGACAGTGGTTCAAGCACCGGTCCCAGTGGCCTGAAATATCTCTGTCTATCTCTGTCTTTCTGGGGAGTGCACGTGCCCTATAGCAAAAACCTCTCAAAAAAAAAAAATATATATATATAGCTATTTTTATATGGGATAAAAGTAGTTCTATCAGGTCATCTGGTGATGTGATGGTGAAGGCAGCTGGATCCCACATGACTGACAGTGGTTCAAGCACCAGTCCCAGTGGCCTGAAATACATGCCAGGCATGTGTGCATGCATGCCTAAAATCCTGACAGGAGGAGGAAGAAAGGATTGCAGTGTAGCCATCTCCCATTGAGGGGTGGGGAGTGCTTTCTCATTTTCCCTTTCTCTCACTCCCTGTCTCTCTCTGGTGAGTGCATGTGCTCTATCGGAAATTTAAATAAAATTTTAAAATGTAGTTCTACCTACCTCTGCGATTTGTCTAGAAATGCATCTATACTGGTTAATTTCTCAAATATGCTGAGGAGCCTAAACTCCGTTTTTCAGGTCTACCTTCAACCTCCCCCATAATCCATTAACCCGAAGGATGAATTGTGACCTAAGTGGGGTCTCCAGAGCCCAACACTAGTACTCTTCTTTCTTGTGGGGGCTTGTCTCTGCCATGCCAAGTGATAGATCTTTCAAATACATCCCTGGACAGAGTCCATGTTCAAATATTTCACATCCTTCCTTGGTTCTCCTTTGCTTCTGGCCTTATATATTGATGGAAATCTTACACTTTTTCATTACTTTGTGGTGATAAATAAAGTCTGTGGAAAAGGCATGATTTTTAAATGAAGTGCATGGAATCATTATTTTACTCTTGCTTACAGAATCTGTAATTTTCCCCACTCGAACCTAGATCCCAGACAAATCAGCATGTGCTTTTGTTTTGCTTCAGTTAATGAAATTTCACTGCTGTACCTGAGGATATTTCAAAATCTGCAACAGGGTGATTTAACTCTCTTCTATGAGGAAAAAAATGAATAATGTTATGACGTCTATCACATGATTATAGTTTTTCAGTGAACATAGGAATTTTAAGAAATTATAATGATGTGGCAAATGCCTTTTCAAAAATCTATATCTCACGCGGATTCACTGCCTTGTTTAAAATAGGAGTATCAATCTGTGTTATAATTATCTCTTAACCCCAACGGAACAGTA